TTCTCTCTCGCCTGCTCTCCCACACACACACACACACACACACACACACACACACACACACACACACACACACACGCTCACTCTCTCTCTCTCTCTTAAACCTTTGTCGAGCTGCCTTTCTAAATCAGCACACAATCAGAGTAGATTACTTCGAACAGTGAGGGCCATTAAGAAGTTTTTTTGTTTTGGTTAATTTGACTTGAACCAAAAGTGATGAATTCCAACAAAGAATAAACTCAGGAGTGTTGTAACATTGAAAAATTAGGAACCCTAAAAATCTTTTAGTATAATTTGACCTGAATCACTTAAAAATATAATAGTGCATTCTCTGTTTGTCAGCTGGGTGGCATTGTGCTACATGGTAGCGCTGTGATAAGTTTACTGCTGTTAGTGAACAGCAGAAGTTGCTGGAACATTGGCAATGAAACAGAAGCATTTAGTGAGTTTAAGAGGAGCATATTTTGTTTTCTAAAAGCAGGAGTGGACTCACACTGTTCATATTTCATATTTAAGTAAAAGCTTCATTACAGTGGCTTTTAAACCAGAGCGTCACGTCAAAATCAATAATTACTGCTTCTGCATTTGGGCATCAGGTGGTAAGAAGCCTAAAAAACACAGAAATGTTGTAAAGATCTTTAGCACTTGACCCACTGAATGAATCATTATTAAAATAACTTTAATAACAATCGTCTGTGTAGGTTTTCAGTCATCCGGGTCATGGTCATCTAAGAAATCTAAGAGGTCCAGAAACTTACGCTGGATCCAGATGAAACATCAGTGCCGTTTGATGTAGTCTCTCTCTTCACTTGCATACCTAATAATGAGGCAGGAGACACTGTTAGGAAAGGACAACAACAAGACAGCTCCTTAGAAAACAGACCCAGCTTATCCCCCGATCAGATTTGCACAATGTTAGACCTCTGCCACACCACCACATTTTTTAAATAAAACGAGGATTTCTACAGACAAAAACATCGATGTGCCATGCGTGCCCCCGTGTCACCCACTGTAGCCAACCTTTACATGGAGGAAGTGGAAAGTAAAGCTCTTGGCTCTTTCACAGTGACAGCACGTACCCACTGGTACAGATACATGGATGACACCTGGGTCAAAATCAGAACGCTAGAACTAGAAGCTTTATGTTTCTGTGCAATGAGATCATGTGAACATGTGAAGTTCACCTGGGAAGATACAAAGGAAAATGGTTCACCATTTCTGGACTGTGCTGTCCACATTGAGGAGAGTGGAAACCTCAACATTAAAGTTACCGGAAGCCCACACACACACACAGAGCAGTACTTACTCTTTGACTCCCACCACCTTCTGGAACACAAACTTGGAGTAATCAGGACCCTACAACACCAGGCAGAAAACATTCCCTCTAGGCCAGAAGGGAAAGAAAAAGAACACACATGTAAAGGAACCTTTTAAAATATGTGGTTATCTTAATTGGGCTTTCATTAAATCTGCAATGATGCATAGTAAAGAAGGTCAGACACCAACTAGGGAGGATCAGAAGGACAAATAGAACAACATTGTCATTCCTTATGTAGCCGGTTTATCATAGAAACTCAGGAGAGTCTTCAAGTCAAGTACGACATCCCAGTGTACTTCAGACCCAACCACACACTCAGACACAAACTGGTTCATCCGAGACAAAACTCCCAAACACAAACTGAACAATGTAGTGTATGCTGTACAGTGTGTCTAGGAGGGCCCAGACCTCTACATTGCAGAGACCAAACAGCCACTTCATAAGCGCATGGCACAACATAGAAGAGCCACCTCAACAGGACAAGACTCGGCTGTCCATCTGCATCTAAAGGTCAAAGGTCACTCTTTTGAGGAAGCCAATGTTCACATGTTGGACAGAGAAGACAGATGGTTTGAAAGAGGAGTGAAAGAAGCATCTATGTCCACTGTGAACGTCTATCTTTGAACAGAGGCGTTGATTTACGACACCAACTGTCTGCCATCTATAATCCAGTTTTGAGATCCTTCCCAGCCTCCTTAATGCCCACTCACACTTTGCGTCAGTTGATCTCATGATAGGGTGGGGGCAAGCTCTCACAGTGGCTTCACTCGAAACCTCTATTGATAATCACCCACAGCCTTTTTCACACCCCGACTCGTGTGATGAGGCACATCACCAGTAGTGGGTCAATGATTCTCTTAAGGGACACCCCCACTAGAGAGTACCTGGGACTCTCCATCATTTGGTCTTAGAACCTCGCTGATGAGAGGTGAAAAAACTCTTCTCTTTCCAAGCTCCTTAGAGTTTTTAACAATCATGTCACTTTTTAATTGTTTTGGTGCATTTTTGGCTCCAGGCAACAGGTGAGCTGCTGTATTGAGTATTAAGTAATTGAGCAATTTTAAGCAGCAGGTGCTTTTGTCTAGCTTTGGGATCCTTTGCATGCCAGCAATCTTACTTTGGGGAAACACCAATTGAGTGTTGAAAGTCTGGCAGCCATCCACGGTCGGACATCGAAGCAGGGAAGGTTTCCCTGGCGTGGCAAGCAGCCAGATACAGTAGCTGTTTTCAATTTGCAAAATATACTATCCAACCAGAGAACACAATTATATCCTCAAATATTTAAAGGAGATTTGATTTTTTTTAAAGATGGGTACACACAAAAGTGTTACAGTCAAACAGACAGGACAGCAAATTTGTTGGCAAAAACAAGCAGCAGATTTGTCTTTGACTGTTGAACCGGCTCACAGGAGATGGACAGCTTTGCTTTCATTTCATCTGTCACCTTCGGATCATCATCAGCAGCCTTTAGGTAGTTTATTTCTGGTCCTGTTGGCTCCACTCAGGGACTCGCACATTTTTCAGTTTGTTACACCTTGATGTTGCAGCAAGTCTGCCGGCACTGATCACTCCTACCAACTTTCATTGACTACCAGCTCATCACACTCTGATGCTTGGCCCTTAAGTGTCACATAATAACACACTGAGTAAGCACTTAGCAGCATTTTCCCTTTTTTCCCTTGGTGCACAAATGGACTGCAAAAGAGCTCGCTCTCTGCTGACATAATCACCATTGGAGCAAAAATGAACTCTGCAGGTGTTTCCAGTTAGGGTGGAAGACATTTGGCTTGTAGGTGTGATGGAATGTATCAATACAAAACTCTTTTCTAGGGTTTAATCACATAATTGCCTAAAATTAACAAAACTGCAACAGAAAAGTAAAAAAAAGAAAAAAAAAGAAAAGCTAAATGAAAGTGGAAATCCAATTTGCTAGTATGTAATCTGTCATTAATGCAGCACTGCTCTTTGAAAGAATAGTATTGGAATTTCACAAACTCACATCACGAGGGAGAAATGAGTGATGTGAAAATGCAAAAAGTTATTTTGGAATTGCTGAGTGATGAATCGAGACACAATTCTTATGTAATTAAATAATGAAATTAAATTAAGAATGTCAGGCCAAAATGACACTAGTCTGTTGTCGTCCACAGGGCACAATGGCATAGATACATGTATGTATCAAACAGTGACGTCAGTGTAATCTCTTTGAAAGTTCAGATAGTTTTTTTCTGACTTATTATTATAATGATGTCAATGAAAAGCACATTATTTGTGATTACTGAATCAGCTTGTTTATGACAAGGGATGAAGCTGGAAATGAGCATCTTAGTCATCTTTAACCAGACATCCTTACTCCTGGCCTGTAACTGACTTCTGATCAAATCTGTGAGCAAAGATTGTTCCCATCGAATAAAACCTATGTTCTCAGTTACGCTATACTCCTACATAACAGTAAAGTACTGTAAGGTAAAAAACATTGAAACAGTAAAAAAAAACCCAAAAAACATCCTAATCATCCGATAATCCTTTATGAGCAATAGTTGGTGACAGTGAGGAGGAAGAACTCTCCTTTGTAAAGGAAGAGACCCTAGACTCAGGGATGGGACAGCCATCTAACACGACTGCTTGGGGGGATTGAGGGCAAAAGGCAAACTGCAGAGAGAGACGACACTGAGTTGGGAGTGACAAACACGTCTGCCTAACCTGCCGTAACCAGGAGCATCAGGGCGCAGACACTGAAGGGCACCTTGTGTGTAAATGCCAGCAGCTTTGACAGAACGAGAACAGCCTGATGCATCTTTAAAAAAAACACTCTGTGGCATAACACTCACCTCTCTCCGTCATTATGGAGCTTGCTTTCATCTACCAGCTGGCTGCTTTGGCTTTCTGAACCGTTCTCTCTTCCCTCCTTCCTGTTTCTCTCTCTCTCTCCCTCTCTCTCACATACACTTCCTTTTCTCTTCCTTTTGTGCACACCGATCAATAATCCAATCTATACACCCTTTACCTTGGAGAGAGGAATCCTCATCACTACCTCAGGAAAGACACGCAGGCTGCTCACGCAGCCACTGAGACGTTTAAATTCCCATACTTTTAAAAGCTGTATGTTCTCCGTCTTAACATTTAATTTACCCTGGCAGCTCCTTTAAACTCTTTGTTATTTACCAAGACACTTGGAAGAGTAAAGAACGCACAATTACAGGGGCTGGAATACCACATATGAGGTACTAAAATCTGAAAGGATTAAAGTAACCAGTGATAAAACCTATCAGAGCACAAAATGATATTCTGTGCTTGTGTGCTGGAGGAACAAGCACTAAAGGCACATCAGTAGAAACCTGTAGAGTGTGCCAGGTTCTCAACAGAAATATTAGCCGCTGATTCTCTCAGTGGTTTTCTATAGGTGCAGTGGAGACAAATCCTTTACAGCCAAACAGTGAAACAAAGCAATTTCTTTTCATTGATCTGTTTACTTTGGTTAAGTGTCTCAGGACATTAAGGTAGAAGAGAAGCTGGCTCAGTAAAGGAGGATGCTGCACTGTGAGAAACCACTTTCTGAGCTTATGATTGAAAGGTGCATTTTAGAGTCTGTCCCAAGGATGTGTTCAAGATGCTAATATTGTTTTAATGTGTGTAATTTTCTGTTCAGGCCGTCTCCTCATCACATTTTCTTGGATTGTTGCAGGGCAGCTGAACTCCTCCACGACCCCATGAGTTTGGTTTGGGTAAGTAAAATGGCTTTGTGCGTTTGTGCATGAGTAAGCTGTGTTGTCACGCATATGCTCGTAGAAGCGCCGTCTACAGTACGCAAAGTTTTAATGTGCAGTCGCTTTATGCATGAACAAATGCTTTATGAGGAGAGATCCTGCCACACACACACACACACACACACACACACACACACACACACGAGTCCCAGTGAGCGAGTCACAAGGAGGCTGCTTTGTTACTGAAGCCAGCTCGCCCTGTTCACTGGTTTTATTCCTTCACTCTGAATACTGAACATCTCACTGCCGTCATCCAAGCCAGGAAACCCAGGACTGCTGTGTGTGTGTGTGTGTGTGTGTGTGTGTGTGTGTGTGTGTGTGTGTGTGTGTGTGTGTGTGTGTGTGTGTGTGTGTGTGTGGATGAAAGGTTTTTTTTTGAACAAATAGAAAATGTGTGTGAGTCATCCCTCCAGGCTGTGTGTGATGTAGCAGCGTGCATCAGGAGAACAGGGACTTGTTGCCAACAATCAACAGGCTGTTTCCTCCATGTTTGTGCCATTTTTCTCTTTTTTAAATGCTTCATTCAGTAAAGTACCTTACCACATGACTTCATGTTTGCAGTACTGACCCAGTGGAAATAAGTAAAAGTGTTTGGAGAAAGTGACAGCTGTATGTTCTTTTGCCTTTAAGTTTTCCTTATAAAACTGCCAACAGCCAAATGTCACCTGAACAAAGAAGGTGACACCATGATGCTCTTCTCTAATTCAGTTCCTTTTAATGCAGGCAGATGTTGGATGATGCTAGATTGCAACGCAAAAACAAAAAGATCAAAGCAAATCTAGAAAACACAGTGAAAATACGAAACAGCAAAAAGGAGGGATTTGTTGTTACTGGTTTCTGCGTCTAGTTGTGTTGTATCTGCAGTGTTGTTGAATTGAAGAAGTTTTTTCAATTTGCTTTCGATCACTGTAGTGATCAAATTTGAGTTCTGAATAAGATTCCTTTAATGTGGCAACAGTTATGAATGGTCACAAATCAACCATTTCCGTCCACGACTGTCAACTACAAGTAGTGAAGTGTCATCACAAACCCAGGACACTCTTGCTGTGAGGTGGCAGTGCTAACCACGGCACTGCTGTGCTGTGCTGTAATCTGCATTGATCCCTAAACAGTCACCACACCAACTTTCAAACACAGCAAACTGGTGTTTGAGTTAGAGATGCGCTGATTAGAGCTATCAGACGGTACTGTGGTGCAGTGGCTGGCACTGTTGCCCTGCAGCCAGAAGGTTTCTCGTTTCAGCATCCTGATTGGTTCAGGCCTTTCTGGGTGGAGTCTGCACGTTCTTCCTGCGCTTGTGTGGATTTCTTCTGGATACTCTGCTTCCTCCAACAGTCCAAAAACAAGCCTGTTAGATTAAATGTGGAGACAGTTAGGTAAAGTGTTTAAAGTTCATAGAATGTGTTAAGCGTACTGTATTAATCTAAATAATAATTGTAAAATGTTTGAGCTGTCAGTAAGAGAGAAGTGATATAAATGCTTGTCCATTTTCATTTTTTCTCCCATTTCTGATTATCTTCCTAACAATGAGATTTCATGATACACATGATTCATCTTCTTTAAATCTACGAGACATTGGCCATTCAGTTAAAATGTATACAGTACTCCCCCAAATTATTTTGTAAATGTTTGCATCATACTATCATACTAAGCTGTGTTTAGCTTCTTTTAGTATTTCATCTAAACCAGCTGCAACAGCAGAGCTGAGCTGATTGTGTTGAAGATGAATCCATTTAATGCTGAACAATAATTACTTTTATGGGAATCACTGCAGCACAAAAAAAGACTTCCTAATGCAAAGCTATTGGATCGATGAAACGGCAGATGGCTGCAGTGCAATCAGAATTATAATTAAAACAGAAACAGTCACAGCCCAGCGCATGTTCCTTTTTGTTTCAGAGAAAAGAAGATACACTGGGTTTACATTAATCAAGGTGTTTACCCAGCGAGTGAATCAGCTGACAGCGCATCAGTGCATCTCTAAATTTAATCAATCTCTAACCTCTTTTTTAAAAAAGCAACATCAAGGATGCCTTTTCTGACAGAATTCGTGTTTTCTTTCTTTATCATTTTACATCATCCTTTCGTTCATTTTTTTCATCATCCTTGTCTTCTTGGTCTCTCTGGCCTATACCGCCTCTGTTTTTCACCGTTTCTCTTTCTGGTCCCAGAACAGTTGCTGTTATTTCAAAAAAGTAGTCAACCTCGTGCACAGCTCAAAGTATGAGATATATTTTTGACTGGGGAATCACCTCTAACGATGTGGGCAGCGGTCCAGTAGGATGAGATGCCAGTGAAAGTGGCCATTTCCTCTCCATTGTCGCACACATTGATTATTTTTATGCCCGGTTGAATTATCTCATCCTCATTAATACTTTATTACTTTCATTTGATCACATTTTATTACACCTCTGAGCAACATTTCTTCCTTCAGTCGATATGTCTGCTCTGGGTGTTTGCGTCCAAGCTTGTGCCCTGTGTGAGAGGTCTGTTTGAAATATAAATTAAATTTATCTGTGACTATCACTTCATTAACCCCATAAAGGTAAAATAGATGAAGTCTCTTTGAGTTAAAAGTGTGGTTTCTGTGTAATATGGAATTCTAACAAGTAGAAGTGCAAATGACATTGTATATTATAAAGTAACATCAGCAAAAGGTTTAACACAGATGATTTTTACTTTTTAAAAATTGAAAGTGTTTTTAAAAAAATATGATCTGATTACTGATTCAATACATCCCAGTGAGCGCGGCGCGTGACTTTGAGACTGGCTCTAGAGCAACAGCATCAGCAGCACTAATATGTGTCCCACCTACACCAATATCTTCGGACTACAACAATATTCATTTCACAGCACAAAGCACCACTGCATGAGCATGTGGATATGTAACTTCATGCATTTACTCAACTGAAGCTCGCTTTAATGTTATTATACTCCAGGTATTTTTATTTCTTCTACTCTACCACCTTCCTGCATGTAAGGCCACATAGTTTAAAGCTTGGTTTCTTCTTCTGTTGCAGATTTTAACATTTGGATTTACTCATGCACGCTGCACTATTATTAAAGATAAAACTACCCAGCACTATACAAGTACTTAAAATCATCTCCAGCTGCAACATTAAAGAGAGATACACATAAATAAATAATTATGACCCGGTTGTATAATATTAATTTACGTGTTCCTGCATAATACTGAAGTACTATAGGGGTAAAGACACTGAATACTGCTTGCATTTCTTTGTAAAACATTTATTGAACACGAAACCATGCTAGACTCTTGTTTATGCAGGTTACAGTAACACATCTGTATCGAGGCTTCGCCTGAAAATCGTACTTTTCGTTCCTACACTGGATTTCTATCTAAGCAGTTGTTCTGTTTTGCCGAGTGCCCCCTACTTTAAGTTTGAATGTGCCGCTCACTGACAAAATCCTGGGAATGGCTGAGACTGTGTGTCACAAAATGTTTGTTTTAATCAAACACATGCCCACATTAACAAGGTTTTTATTAACTATGCAAACATGAAACCTGATCCATCATGACTTCTGCTTTTTTTGGGGCCTCCTTGTAAACCCGTACCTCAAAGGCTGCCATTATATTGTGAGCCTTGAATCTCCACTGACTGCTTTGCTCTACAAAATGATTAAGATACATTCTAAGATTGTCCTTCGGTGTCCCTGCATCAGCCACCCCCCACAGGCAGCTTCCTTTAATCACGTACACATTGTTTGCCAGAGGTTTCATATTTCCATTGGCTTCCTGTCTGTCTGTTTGTAGAATGGCAGCACCCGCGGGATTTGAACCTGTAACCTTGTTACCTCCAGGGACTAAATCCTGCCTCTGAGCCTGAATGTTATTACCTGACAATCCAATCCATTACTTTCACTGAACAACACAGACTGTTGCACACCAGTAGCTTCGGGATGCTGGGTGAAGATGATTGAAGCATAATCAATATTTTATTAGAAAGGCTGACACCCCCTCTATGTGTGAAAAAGACACAAAATCAATAAGGCTAGATTTGTGGCATGTTGGTCACAGGTCTTTGTTTGGATTCAGCCTTGGCAAAATCCTCCAATTCGTCCCATTAAAAATGTGAAAAATAAAATAATGTAACCTGTGAAACCAACTATTTACTATTTTAGTATTTATTAACAGTACAGCAGTGTGACAAAAGAGTCATTTGCCAAGTCATATAAAAAATTTAATGCAATAGTTGTAATATTTTAAAGACCATTTTGATGATTTGTTGAAGAATAATTTGGTTTTCTAGTGAACCATGTTATGTATACAGCAGCGATTTGTTTTGAGGCACAGGGTTATTTTAATATTTGTGCCTCATTATTTTATAATAATGAGGTATATTTAATGGTGTTGCATGCATTAGAAAGAGCGTGCATGGAATGAAAAGATAAACGGACAGCAATTTTTCTCCTGCTCCTCGTGTAAACATTGCTCGAAGCAAAGAAGTGAGTATTTTTCTGTAGCAGAGGCACAAAAACATCTCTTTGGTCGTTCCCAAACAAGCACAAATGTTACGAATAGACTTGAACTGGAGCCTCACATGAGCACAGTCGGTTGGCTCTCTGGAAGTTACTGCAGTCGAGACATATTTTCCATTTTATGTCTTTTACCAGGACAGACAATTTTATTTTACTCTAATGCCAAAACCTCTCCTCCTACCAGCATCAATTTGGCCATACTTTAATAGTTTGGGGAATATGTCTCCCAGGGAAGTGATAAGAAGAGACCAAAACAATCTGAATGTGGAGCTTACTGATCCCACAGTGAGAGGAAATCCTTCCCCACCTTTAATCTTGCTATTTTATATTATGAAAGAGAACAGGGAACGGATATTGTATTAAATGTGCTCAGAGTAAAAAAGCTCTATATACTGTACATAGCACTCCAGTCATGTATGCACAAGAATTCTCTTGTGCAATTTAGTGCATGTATGTGT